TAAATATTTTGTTAAAATTATAGTACCAGAGGGGCTTTGTTGGTCCACCTCCACTGCTTTGGCTTAGATTTATGACTTTTTTTTTTTTTGTAGAAATTTCGAAAAATTTCACTCTTTGCCACATTTCTTTTATTATTTTTCTATCTTTCTGCTTGCTTTACATATTAATTGAGGTTAATTTGGTAATTTCATGATTTGTACATAATTTATTTGCGTGTTCACGAACTTTAAAATTATTGGAGTTATATGGACCAAAAATCAACCAGAATTTCCTTTCAAACTACTGATTTAATGGTTGTAATTGTAGAGCTGTGAATATGTATATATTTTGTATGGGATAAGCTGTAGTAGCAAATTTATTTATTTATTTGTTTATTTTTTTTTTAGTTTTACTTTATGGTTTTACAAGATGATTTGAATTTCTTCATTAAAGTTTAATCTTAAAGTTTGGGGTGCAATTGTAATCCCTTTTTAAAATAATTTTAATACTCTGCAAAAAAATTTTCAAAAAAGAGGGAAAAAAGTAAAGCAGAAATCAATCACTATACCAGAAACGTCTTTTTGGGAGCGATTATGTCCCCATTTGGTTAGTTTTTGTTTCTAATTTTATTGAGAAATTTAGGGTGTGTTTAGTGGGTAATTTTAAAACAATGAATATGAATATTCACTTGTGGTTTAAAAAAAAGTTAATATTCACTGTTTTTAAGTTTGATAACAGGTTCAGGAATTGAATTTGAATTTAAGAATTTATTGAAACTATGTTTGTCATCGTTAAAGAATTTATTGAATATATATGCCAGCACGAGCATAGTTTAGCTGTACTTCTTTAATTGTAAATTTTTGACTACCCTTTTGAAGATTTTACTTTGAGAAGATAGCTTTCCTTAGAAACTCCCACAATTCACTACAATCTATTCCCACCCTTTTACTCCCCCTTGCCTACTCCCTTACTAACTAAACAAAATCCCCAAGCTCAGGTCACCTAGCTTAGAAACGAAACGCTGAGTTCTTTAGTGTTTTTCATAATAGGATTTATTTGGAAATGGTTTCCAAACATATTTCTAAATTCTAATTAACCCGTACCTTTTACATACTTCTCATTTCAAAATTGAATTTACACATTTTTCAAAAACATTTTCAAATCAATTATCAATCCAATTTTCCAATCAAATTTATACCACTTTTCAATCAAATTTATACAATTTCCAAAATACCTTAATCTCGTGATTGCCATTCATTCAAATTATCTATCATATATGCTTCATATTCTACTCATTTGAGCAACTACCTTCAAAACTTTCAGTCTAGGATGACATGTGAGAACTATTGAAATTTATATGAAAACTATCTAAAATTATTAAGATAGTGTACTAGATCTTCCGAGATCATATTTTTGGTATTAATTAAGTTACCTATTCTACTTCATGTTTCACCGCTATTTGTATATAATAATATTTTATTTAATAAAAATTCTAAGATTATTTTAATATTTATATATGTCAATATTTCACATATATTGTTCAATTGTGTAACTAATGACTAGATTGGATTAGAAATTATCAATAAAGCAAATTCCAAATCTTATTAGTTAGACTTTATACAGTATTAAAATGCAAATGTTTCATTGAACAGACTAAGATTACAATCATCGAGGTTGTGAGAAATTTACTTTAGATAGTAATAGTGAAAAGTTAAATAAATTATTGATAACATTTTCTCTATGGTAAAGTTTATATCAAATGAATTTGTATACTTCTGTTTAGACTTTAATAAATACTTCAAAAGTATTATTATAGATAATTGAATATTATTTTAAAAATTAATCATTGAAAAAAAATATATCAGATGGACAAATGGGATTTTTTTAAATAATGTTTTTATTTAAACTTATTTTTAAAATAATGCTGCATTAAATAAAATTAAAGAAAAATGCTTCTTTGGAAACTTATTCGAAAAATAATGATTTTGAAATTAGTCTCAGAGACCATCATGTCATTTTTAGTAGTTGGTGGTCGACCATAAGAACATGGCGCTTTATTGACACCACGTTTGATTTTTTTAAAAAATCAAGACATGGTCTCTTGAGACGACCATGTGTTGGCATGCATTTTACAGTTGTTTCTTCAACGGACGATGAAACGACTTGGATTTTTAAGGAAAAAATATTATTATATATTATATATTAAAAAGCAATTAGTGGTGTAGTGGATGATGAAGTAGTTTTCTTCTTTCTCCTTAATTGTCTGAGCCTCAATAAAGCAAGTTTTATTTTTCTGTGGAACCGTTTAGGAGAAAGAAGAAAACTGCCATTATCCACTACACCACTAATTGATATCCAAAACAAAAATACAGTTTTTAATATATAATATGTAATATTATTTTTTTCCCTTAAAAATCCAAATCCATGAAATACGTGCCAACACATGGTCGTCTCAAGATGTCTTGATTTTTTTAAAAAATATGGCGCCACGTCCTTATAGTCGACGACCAAGTAGAGGACTAATTTCAAAAACATTATTTTTGGAATAAGTTTCAAAAGAAAAATTTTTTCTTTAATTTCATTTAATGCAGCATTATTTTAAAAAATAAGTTTAAATAAAAAAATTATCTAAAAAAAATCTGGACAAATATGTTAAAAATATTTTATGTATCCTTAAAATAGCATTTCCTAATTTCATAAGAAAATTGACTTTTGTAAAATAATTTAAATTATATTTAAATTATTTAAATTAAATAATCAGTTTATAAATATATATTTTTTAATCAAAACTCAAACAACCAAACACAAGTTTAATAAAATCAGGTTTAACAAAGTACTAAACAAACCCGAACTTTTAACACCAACCAAATACAACTTAACAAATCCAAACTTAATAAACTTATTTTCTGCATCAATCAAAACTTAACAAACCTATACTTAATAAACTATGGTAAAACAGCAAACCAAACATCCCATAAAGTATTTGACAACTTTTTCTTGTTTTTTTGTTCCCATTATGTTGTGGTTATACTTTTTATTTTTATTTTTTTTAGTACAAACATGTGGTGTGGGAGATTAAATTCACAATCTCATATATATGCCAATTACTGTTGAACTATACTCACTTAGTTGTGTTACATTATCACTCCATTTTTACATTTTAATATCAACAAACTAATAATTAGATACTTTTTGTTAAGTTTTTTCTGTTTCTTTGATAAAGATATTAATTGAGATTTTAAAATTCAAAAAAGATATTTACAACATTCTGTTCTAAATATTTTATTAGAAATAACTTCTAAATTTCTTCCATTTCTCTTCTTCAACTTTCATAGTCTTTCAACATTAAAAAATAACCATTCTAATTCTTTCCTTAATCCTTTTTAATAAATAAATAACGTGACTTCAAATATGTGTATTAACTTAGTGTATCAGTATTAGATTGGTCGGTTGAGATGAATAGATCAGCACATATTAGGTGACAAAATTATATTAAAGATCAAAATAGTTAACCTTTTAAAGTTGGACTAAAATAGACATTTTGAAAGTTCATGGTAAAAAAATTGAAATTAAAATTTTAGAGACTAGGCCAACTGAACTGTATATCGTTCATGAACACGGTTACCTACCTTTTAAAGACTAATGTGGGAGATCCAATTCAAGTAAATGGACAAATAAAACGAATATAAAAGAAAAAAAAAAGTACAAGTACAAGTAATAAATCATGTGAGGAGACCCTACCCAACTGAAACTGAAAAAGGATAATTTGGTAATAAGAAAACTCATTTAAACTTGAAAACCTAAGTGTGAAAATATTAATAAATATGGACATTTATAAAAAATATAATGGAAAAATAAATGGAAAACAAGAGCAAAATTTCTGTTTAAACTACCTTAATGCCCCCATTTGGATCACAAGCCAATGCTACCGGGCTCGACCCTTATTATTATTATTATTTTTTAAAGTATGTATGATTTTTGTTTTTTAAATATAGAAAAGAAGAAAAACGAATAAAAAGAACAAGAAAACAAACGTAGAATAAAATTAATTATCAACCATTAAGCTAGGCTTACGTTGTTGAAATTGATATATGCACATTCCATTATTATACTTCCTCATTTAAAAAAAAGTAAAATATATATTTTAGTCCAAATGTTTAGGAATTATTTCAATTTAGCCCCTATAATTTAAAATTTTTTTATTTAGTCCTTAGTTTTAACATTTCTCAATCTTGAATCATTGACGAATGTTACGATAAACTTATATGACATAATATTTAATGAATTGGTGGAAAAATAAACGAGAAAAAAAGATTATCAAGACACGAAAACTCAAAATTTCTTACCAGTTTCTCATAAATTTACACATCACTCTTGTCATTATGTCATAGAAATTTATCATCGGTTAATTTTAACCTTTACTAAAAGTAAGAGACTAAATTTTAAAATGTAAAAACATCATAGACTAAACTAAAACTTTTTTTTTTGTGAGTATTTTAACCATATGAACTAAATTTAAACACTAAAAAAAAACAAAAACAAAAAAAATTAGGGATTAAAATATATATTAAAAAAAATACATAAACCAACATATAATCCAGCTACTTAAGGTAGGCCCCAAAATTAATCGATGAAACTGACTAAATATAATGCCACCTACAGAATTCATCATCCTGAAAAAAAAGTTATATAATTACTTTTAAACTAAAATATTCCTATTGTACAAAAAAGTGGAACCAAAATGATGATATATTTATAGATGCTTAAAATGGTTAATGCTTTCCTTTGGACAAGCAGAGCCAAGATCTGTCCTCCTACAACAACACTACATGGATGAACAGGCAGAATTTAAAGGCCAAGATTGCAGGCTTGGAAAAACTCCAAATCATAATCCACATACTTGGTCCAATATGGCTTAAATTGAGTGATGGCAATGTCTAGCCATGGCTTCATGTTCCCGTTGAAGTGCACGACTGCAGCGTTCTCGATCTCGTCCTTCCCGATGCTCGGATTGTAACCGAGTCCAAGGACATGCCATGTCTTGTCCAGTGGCTTTGTTGTGGAATAGTATGTGATTAAACCAGGAGGCAGCGTTCCCAATTTCCACAGGGTCCGATTTTCATTCTGCACCGTGAAACCAAGGGAGTAAGAGCATACTTTTGGCTCAAGTGATCGACTAGCAAACACTCGGAAACACTTTTAAGACTGACTCGAGAACCAAACATCAAAATGATTTGTTATTAAGCCCTTTAGTATGCTGCTGGACGACTTAAATAATGCCTAACTTGTCCAACAAACCAGAAAATACCCAATTAGAATACAAGTCAGTCAAGTGTAGATAAGAATCGGTTGTAATGTAAGTTGGACAGATATTTGAATTGAGACAGACCAAAAATTTGCTGAAAAACCTATCATGTAGGAAATGAACAATCAGAGATTCAGAATACAAGTTGAGAAGTAGTTTATCTTACCATATTCTGCCAGTAGTGATATTCTTCTGTGCATTTTTCCCTTCTCCAAGCGTCCAAATCGAAAAAGTTCATTCCATAAGCCCACGCGCACGCCTTGGGATCGAACTTCTCTTTGATTAATGGATGTGAAAAATTCATGTACTGTGCATATCTATGGAACGAGCCAAAGCACGTCTCCACCGCGCCGTTTACTTTTCCATCCATATCGATCTTCCACAAGCCAGTCAAGTCCTTCTGGACTACTATGTCATCATCCAAAAACAGAATTCTGTGTAGTTTTGGATACATCTCAGGCAAATAAAACCGCAAATGGTTTAAAATCGATAGATATTTGGGATTTCTGAACTTCATATTTGTTGTATCCTTGGTTGCATTTTCAACACTGTTCTCAAAGTAAAACCTCTGCAAATTTGCAGACTCTAATTGGCGAAGCACTGGAACATAGGAAGAATTCAAGAACTTATAATCCTCCACTGCCTTGACTTCAATGTGAGCTCCATTATAGTCCTTCAGTTTGAACATAACTTGCATTGCCCCAAGATTCATCTTGTCAGTAACAACATGAAACACATGCTTCCACGGTTCTTCGGCATTCTTAACGGCTGAATTAACAACCACCGATGCAGCGACTACATTGTCTGAGAATATTGCATAATGGTAGAGTTCTGGATCCTCTATTTCTGGTGGTATTGGCGTTCCCACATCTGAATATTTATCCGGATTTGCAATTCTCTCTTCCATCAACCTCATTGAAATGCAGTGCAAGCTTTTTGGAAGAGACTTGGCTGCAATTAAACTTGAGAAAGCACCTTGTTTCTTAGCTTTCGACAATAGCTCATTCACTGCAAAAATAGTATCCTTCAACTTCTGGATCTTAAGTTGATTGTCGAATGATTCTTTCGCTTCGGCAATCACTTGTCTCGTGACTTTAATACGCTCTTTCACCTCTTTCTCAAACTGACGAAGCAGAGCCTCATCCATGGAAGCCGTTTCAGGCTCAAAGAGACTACGATACGTGGGTTCATTATTGAGATCCGTATAGTTCTGGGAAAGATCAGCGAAGACCCTAACAAGCTTCGAGTACTCAAGCTTAAGCCTCCGAGCATAAGAGGCATATGCGTGAAGCAAATTGCGATGGTCATCGGCTTGCTTCCGGATCTGCTCCAGCCGCGGCTTCAGAGGGTCTGATTTCACAGCCAACGGGAGCCTCCTTCTGGAATTGATTCGATAAGAGACAGACTCGTAACCCTAATTTCATTACAGCATACAACACATTTACTTCAATGCGCAACTCAAAACATCATCCAAGAGAAAAAATTAACAGCACAACGAATGTAAATATCTGAAAGCAAAGCAACCGTTGGATTGTGAATTTCAAGACGAAATTCCGATGCGTTGGAGCCGGATCGAAACACGCAAACATAAATGGATACTTAAAATTGGAATTGAAAATTGGGAGGAAGAGGATTAAAAGAGGAGCACTTACAGTTGGAGGAAGGGAGAGATGAGGAGTGTGAGTGGTGGAAGTGAAGAAGAAGGAGAAAGAGAGGAAGAGGAAGAGGAAGAATGCAACCGCCATGGATGAGATTCTGAGGGAGCTTCGATGAATTTCTCCTTCAGCGATTCTTCCACCAATCCGCAGGTTCGCCATTTTCGTCTCAGAGAGGAGGAGAGAGGGATCCAACTAACTAAGACTACGAGTTTGTGTTTAATTAATATAAACAGACAATACAAAAAGCGCGTTATTGGGGATGTCTCTATCAAAATATATAATTTTTGGGTTTTTTCTCTCTTTTTTTCAATGAATGTCCTAGATGATGAAATGGTGAATATTGCATTTTTTCCGGGCACAGATTTGGCTTCCACAAGCAACGTGACTTATCTCTTTCGAAAGATGGGTTCCCGTTGCACCTCTACCTTAATCGATAAGAGGTTGTGTGCAAGTGATATTGTCAGGGACTATGGTTTTTCTGAGTTCGTATCCACAAGAACTATGATTCAAAAAGAATGTTGTGAAGAGTTTCACATTGTAATCGAGTTTATTGATAAAAATAGTTGTGAAGCTCGTGACTTTAGCTTTGAAAATATCAAGTTTTTAATTAAAGACAACCCTTCTACTTCCTACCTTAGTTTTAGACGAAACAACACATAGATGAAAAATGAGCCCCATGGTAAGTTTGAATGAGAATAAAATGTTTTGTGACAATATGTACGTTGATTCTATTTTACTTGATTGCAATGAATTACATGATTACATGCTTAAGGTTGGAAAAGAAAGTAGACCAATTTAGAATTGCAAAACCATGCATAAAATTCCTATTGATTGCAAGTTGTGTGACATCATGCTCTTTGTTGAGATAATGTGTAGTAATTTAGAAAGGAAGATTCTTTGTGATGCTATGCATGCTACTCCAAGTCTCTTAGATAGCAAAGTTTCTCATGTTAACATGATATGAATCAAGGAGCTTCCCTTTGTCATGCCTCATCGACCAATTACAACATCAAGAGCTAGAAAACTTCAACAATTCACATTTCTGCGTGTTTTTAAGGTAAGTGAAAGTCAACTTGGTCAAGATCAAAGTCAGCTCCATCAAAACAAGTCAAAGTCAACTTATTCAATTCAAAAACCAAGTCAAACACTCACATCCCTCGTTATGGACAGGATTGCACTTATTTTTGCTGGCTTTCCATTTTCTTAAGCTTCTCATTTGCTTGTCTTTTCATTTATTTAAGTTATGCTTTTCCTTTGCAAGCCTTTTCATTTCTGGTAAGTTAGGTCTTTCCATTTACATGTCTTTTCATTTCTTGTAAGTTATGAGTCTTTCCATTTTCTCAAGACATTTCATATGACTTGCTAGAATGGCTATACATAGCCTTGAGATTTCTTGTTGTAGACACAATTTGAAGTTGAATGAAAAATGAGTTGTCTCATTAGCTTGGTTGAGAGCTTTATCTCCCATATCTTGTGTAATTTCTTGTGTCTTTAGAATTTACATATTAGGATCATTCAAGTGGTGTTGATCATACCTCTTTGTGGAATGATTCGAATCACGAATTTATAAACGAGTTTTCTCTATTCCTGATATTGATTATCAAGGTAATCTGTTCTTAAACTTTTCCCTAGGTTGATTCTATAATTGTTTTTGGGATTTTTGGGATTGTGTTCTATGGGTCTTGTTTGTTAGCAAGGTTCTTAGATCTAACTCTCAAGGGTTTCTTAACATAACATCCCTACTCTAAGAAGAAAGAAAGAAGAAGAAAATAGAATGGTCCAAACTACTTTGCCTTACGAGCCAAACTTAAAGAGACTATTGAAGAAGGATCCTTACTTTCAAACTAACTCGTTTTATATCCAAGTGTTTGCATTCTCTTAAGAGTTCTACAGGAAATTTCAACTCTTCAACTCAATCATGTTTGCAGGCTCTCCTAATAAAGAGAGTTGAAAGCTATGAAGAGCCGTTACAAGATGACGATTCATGGATTCATCCTACCATCTTCACGTGATTTTGAGATCACCTTACAAGGTAAGTATAAGATAAATATTCATTTTGAAGATACTAACTTGTTTCCTTTTTGTGTAGGTGATCATGAACAAGAAAATTTATGGCCATGAGTCATGTAGAAGAACTTGTCAAGAAAGTCCTCCAAATAATGCCATGGCCAAGAACATAAATTGTTATGTTAGAGAATTCAAATACCAAGCACCAAATGGAGGACAAATAAATCAAAGCACAACGTCAACAAACCAAGTGATTGGATTTGGAAGCATTTTTCAAAAGAACGAATATGTTTTAAAAGGAAATTCAACGAAAGGCCAATGAGAGCATCACTCTCATCACACGACTTCAAGATTACTCAACAAAGAATCCGATGAGTTATGCCCACCTTAAGAGGCCAAAGAAGAAGGGGGCATAGAAATTCTTAGGAAGAATGAAGTGCCATACCCATGGAGGAAATTCACAAGCCTTTAAGCGCATGTGAAGAGAACTCACAAGGTATATAAAGGTACTTTTTTTTAGGGTTATCATTGGACTAATTTACTTCGTTTGAATGTAGGCAGCAAAATTAACTTGATGAATCCTTGTCCAGAAGAAGAAGATGAGATGATCATAATTGGCTAAGAGCTCCAAGACACAACCTACATCATTAAAGAGGAGGATAAAAAAGAGAGACCCTCTAAAAAGAGGAAGCTACATTGGACCTATAATCAAATTTTGACAATTTTGAAGGACCAAGAGCATTCATCAAGTGTCAAGAGGAAGATGAAGATTAAAAAGGTCAAGCAAGCGGCCAAACGTAGTGGACATCACCATTGTTTGCCCTTGGATATGTGTGCCCACAATGTAGCACGCAAGAATTATACAACGCACTGCGTGCGCGTCAACGCCCAACACCACACACGCATCATGCCAGCAATGCCCCTGTCGTGCGCCCATGGGCAGCCGCCTGCTCAGCTATGCGCATCGCCCCTGCCAACGCTAGATGCACCCTGCCCCTACCGCATGCCCCCTGTTGCTCGCACACGCATTTATTGCATGCCTGCCCTACCACGCAGCGCGTAGCATTGAACGCACCACTCATGCCGCGTGCCTTGCATGCTTAGTTGCCTACTGTTAGGTTTGACTTTTTGCTGCAGAAACGTGACTATCCGAGCATGTTTGACCATAAAAACGACCATTTTTCCTTTATATTTAATTAAAAGTATTCACATATTTTTCAAATAGGATATAAGGAGAATATTTCAGGGTAATTTGTAAAAATAGGGTGTTTTGAGAAAAATTGAAGTAAAATGTGGTCAAACTTGGCAAAAACTCACAGAATTTCATGTTGCAGGAACTATGCGCCTGGCGCATTTTTGTCACTTTTTTCAAAACGTGTGTTTCACTTAGGTAGGGCACGGGATTCTCACATATGATTTGTTGGAACAAAATCAACCTAGTCCAAGTCAAAATTGTGTTGTTGGATGAATCTAAACCATTTCCTCCTATTTTGGTAGGGAGTTCAAACCAACTTGAAGCCTATATGAGGAGAACCTCCCCTATCAATTCCCATTCATTTTCCCAATCTCTTGAACAACTTTAACATCAATTTTCAGTTTAGAATTCGTTGTAGTTATTTTTTTTTTGTTATTCTCTTGTATTTTAGAAAGTCTAGTGTTGTTCTAATTTTAATTTAAATTAAAGAAGGTTAATTTAGAAAATACGTTATTATTATTTTAATTAATTAAATGGAAATTATATGTTATTATTATTTTAATTAATTAAATGGAAATTATACGTTATTATTATTTTAATTAATTGAATGGAAATTATTTCTCTTATGTTTTCGTGCACTTTCTTTCATTTAATTATGCTATACTTTAGTTTTCAACCTCTTTATGGAATGTGTTAGCCAAAATTATTTAATTTTAACACCTGACACATAAAAGCAAATGAATTGATAAATATATTCTAGGATTGTAACCACACGTAGAAATATGATTGTAGGTTACCCTAGGCTCTATAGCTACCAAAAGCGATTTGTGAAAGAGTAGAATTCAGATTTCCAGAATTAGCCAAGTAACGCCTGACATTTTTTCCCAAAGTGTGTATCTTCTATATTTTCTATCAAAACTAAGACAGGAGGTAGAGGGGTTGTGTTTTATAATGAAGATTGATATTTGCAACCACAAACAACAATTTTTGTCACCATTTTCCCCATAAACCTCAATTGCATTTTGAACCATTTCATCTCATAAATTCATTTTGAAAGCACAAGTCTCTGAGAATTCGACCTTGGAATTACTTTCGAGTTACTTGTGACCATGTACGCTTGCACATATCTCTTATCTTTTAAGGTAGAGAAAGTCCCTACACCTACCTACCCTAGCAGCCATGACTGTCCATCGGCACACCCTGTTGCCTGTCGCCAACGCCCACGTGTTCCTACTGCTTGCCACTTACGGCCGTGCGTGCCCACGCCCATTTGCACGCCCATTGAAGAAAACACAAAGCACTTATGGCCACCCACGCCCATACAAAGCACCAGTGCATGCCTCTTCAACGTCATGTCCAACCTTCGTCAGTGCCATGTGCCTTTTTAGCCCTCACTTATGTGTGCGCCACCAGCCCTCTTGCCTCCCATTTGTTTTGCTTGCGGCCAAGTGTAACAAAAAAAGAAAAATATTTTCTTTAATTGTTAACTTGTTTTCTTTTTTGTTAGATTTTATTCTTGAGAAATTATTTTACTTTAGTTTTAGAAAAGTATGATTTTTGATTTTGAGGAAGAATATTTTGCAACCTTATTTTCTTATATTTTTAGGTTTATTTTATTTGCAAAATTCTTGTAAAGGCCATTGGCGTTAGGCCCCATRTAGTCATTGAGACAAACTTTTATAGATTATTAAAGTTGATTTTCAAAAGAGAGGTTTTTCTTCCCTTGCATTCGTTCAACCCTCCTAGTGTGTTATCCTTTGTGTTGTCGAACTTAGGGTGTATTATTCTTCGGAGCATGCTTGTTTGGTTGGTCACCAAACTTGTGGAATGTTTTCGTCCTCAAGTATAATGAGTATTCTGTCTACTTGTAGTATTTGACTGCAAAGGTACCCATCTAACTTTTCTCTTTGGATTCAAATGGCTATAGGCTCGACTAATCCATATGCTTAGGTTGTCATATATCAAGATCACCCAGTGCTTCACATGCATTATGCCCTTCGATAGAGACTGGAATC